TCGCTAAAGAAAAAAGAACTAATTTTTTTTCTTTCTTTTCCTTTGCTTTGGAAATTAGGTCATCCTGACATTTAGTAGCCTGCTTAAATAATATTGATAGTACTGCAAGGAACAAGTACCATTATATTAAAAAGTCCTGAACAAAGTTGCATTGCATGTTGAGTTCCAATTCAAGGAGAAAGGGACACATTGTCTTGGTTGGATGAGTCTGAGAGAGACATCTGCTGGCTACATTTGAATAGCTACTCTGGGAAACTTTTTTATCTGAATTGGTAGTTCTTTTTAAAGGACAATCAGGAGAAAGAAACAGAAAGATATGGCAAAAATATCTGAGGATGTTTCTAGAATATAACTCATTCAAATAACTTTGATAATTATATTATTAACAAGTTCACAAAAAGACAAATAAGCATATGCATTACAGAAAAGTGCTTGCTCATCGACAGTGTCCATTTAAATAATAACAACTGGACAGTAAAGTCATACATAATATAACCATAAAGTAATAGTAAAAATTGATCATAAAACTAATATAGTATTTAGCTGGACACAAATTATTTTTTACAAATCAAAAATAATGCCAAATAATAGAACATTTTGTAAAATGTTACTTTTGAATATTAAACTTTTAAATTTTAAAACTGTCACCTTTTTATATACATCGTGTCTTAAGATTTTTCCTTTTTTGCCATTCAACTTTGTTCATATATTTATTCAAATAAATGTACCCAAAATGCTAATAATTATCATTATGTCTTTTTTTTTTTTTTTTTTTTTTTTGCTACAGCTACCATTTCCAAAGATACCAAGAAGTGGGTATAATGTAATAATTATCTCTTTGTTCCACCTACTGCTTTATACAAACATTCCTATGAAAAATCCATATAGACAGAAAATTCAATCTCAAAGAATCAAATAAAGAATTAAAGTAATTAAAAAAAAAAAAAAAAAAAGCAATGTCCGATACATGGGATTGAAAGTCTGAAAAGGATTTAGCCACTTGAAAAGTCTTTCTCTTTTTATATGAGTTCTGTAAAAATAGCCAGTGATTATAGTTTTAGAAGTTGTTTATTCCTTCAACCAGCTGTGTAAAGGATAAAAGACAGACTCAATCTCTTCCAACAAATTTTTTTTGGTTCAAACTTGTGGCTTATCTGTCTATGTTGGTTAAGTCTTTTCTCCTGTTGGCACAGTTACTGCCTTGCTTTTTCTGTCTCTTTCTTTTGGAGATGAGTTGCTACATCAGTGACCCTTATTTTGTTTTAAAGAATGGTGTCATTTTTATGTGGGAGAGTCCAAAGGACTAAAGACATCCTCCTGAAACCTTAGCTACCTTCTTGAATTAACAGCAGCTGAAGTCATACTGATATTCCAGGGCTGATGTAGGAAACATCAGTTATTTGCATCTCAAAGCCTCCCATCTCTTTTTTTCTCTTACTTGTTTAGTAACAAAAACAATTCTTTGCATTTGTACAGACTATGGCTTACATCATAATGCCCTATCACAAAAAATTTTATTCTAGTAATCCTGTTCATACCTAGGGTTATCTCTCCTGACTCCATTTAATTGCCTTTCTTCTTTTTTCTCTTCATTCAGATTATCCTTAAATTATTTTTTATAGATGCTATTTATTCATCTGAGAGAGAGTTAGGGGAAGGGCATAGGCAGAGAATATCAAGCAGACTCCATGCTGAGCATGGAGCTTGAGGCAGGGCTCGATCTCACCACCCTGAGATCATGACCTCAGCCAAAACCCAGAGTTGGCTGCTTAACTGACTGTGCCACCCAGGCACCCCCAGATTATCCTTAAATTAAAACAAATACTGTATTATATTCATTTCCTGTATTGTCTTAAAGAATCTTTGGAAAACAACACTGACTAGAAATACAACCAATTATTTTCATTTCCCAAAGAGAAAATTGAGATTCAGAGAGACTAAATGGTTTTCTCAGGGACATATGTGTTTTTTAAATTTTTTGTTTATTTTTGTTTGTTTATAATATTGCCCAGGGCTAGCCCTCTACATATATTTTTTAAACATTGCTTTTTAAAGTTGTTATTTATTAAAGAATAAATATATCAGATTAAATTTAAGATCAGCATTACATTTCAATAACTATTTTTTATCTCCAACTCGATTCTTCTCTAATATTTGTTTTCTTATAAATAATTACTATCTACTGATATCTGTTTTTTCATCCTCTTGGATGTTAATCTCAAATATATTCTTATAGTACAACGTGAAGATATCATGGTATATATTCCCAATATATTTATATTTACATGTTTATATGTGTGATAAAATAGTGCTATAAAAATACACTTACACATTGTGAAACATATTCTCAAAATTTCAATTGATTAAATAAACATAAAATACACACCTAAATGATCATTGTGCTCATCCCCATTGTTTCTATATTTATAATTTGACCTAGATACAAATTATTTAGTAATATGTGAGACAGGACAAAATAATTGACAATATATGAATATAATAAAGTGAACAAAATGCATCGAAGACCTTGCCTGAACCTTATCATTGCCCTGTTGAAAGATGAGGTATAGAACTATTTGAATACATAATTTTAAGCATTCTAACATTCTATCATCTCACTATCTTAGCCCTATATAACTCTGTCTTTACATTAATGCTATCTATCCATGTTTCCATCTTTTTATTTTAACATCTACAGACTATCCCACCTCAACTCCAACCTCTTCCCATGCAGAATACACTCTTTAACCACACCACATGTCTTATTTCTTCTACTCTCACTACTCTTGTTCTGCTTGCCCTTACTACTGGCTGAATTTGGCTACACCTTTCTCTGATTTTAATCTTAGCCCAAACTGGAGGGCATATTAGAAAAAAAAAATATTTAGGGGCACCTGGGTGGCTCAGTTGTTAAATGTCTGCTTCGGCTCAGGTCATGATCTCGGGGTCCTGGGATCTAGCCCCGCATCAGGCTCCGTGCTCAGCGGGAAGCCTGCTTCTCCCTCTCCCCGCACCCACTCTGCTTGTGTTCCGTCTCTCACTGTGTCTCTCTGTCAAATAAATAAACAAAATCTTTAAAAAAAAATTAAAGAAAAAGTATTTAATTTGCGATATTGAATCTGTATGGTCTTCACATTTAGCTGGAACTTCAGCACTTTTTAGCATTAATTCTTTTTTGTGTACCTGATGTTTTATATTTCTGTGGTTGTTATTTTGAAGATTCACCACTTTCCTTATCTCTTTCTCTCACTCTTACTCATTCCTCTCTTTGTTCAAAATCTTGCCTACTACTTCACAGGGAAAACAGAGGCCATTATATATCAACTTTAATTTAACCCATCCATTTAGCAAATATTTATTGTGCTCCTCTCTGTTTTGGATATATAGCAATGGAAAAGTGTTGCTCTGGGCCCTTAGAATTAATGAGGAAGATTGACATGGAAGACTACTAGCTGTCCCTCATTATCTCCCTTTTCCATTGTAATTGAGTTTAACTGGTGCGTGGGCATTTAATGGTGTTTACAGATGTAGGGTGCCATAACTGGTTTTTAAATTTTATTTATTTCATCTTTATTTTCAGACATTTTATATAATTAATCTATATTAGTTGTATAATTCATAAAAGTGTCTGAGAAACAGAAATTAATGGCTAATTTGTAAAGCTTAATAGGTGCCAAACACTATGCTAAGTGCTGCATATGGATTTTTTGTTTAATCCTGGTCACATACTTATGAGGATTTGGTGATCACTAGGTAGGCAGGTCTATATAAATGCAAGTGCAAAGTTGAGGTTTACAGGGGTTAAGTATTAGCTCAAGGTCAAATATCCAGTGAAGATATGGACCTGCCATATAAATATGGGAAAATCTGGCCAAGAGACACACAGAATTTATCTTACAAGAGTAAGAATTTCTCAGTATCATAGAACTTCTAAAATATAAATTTATCCTTGTCTGTATCTACTAAAAAGTTAATTCTAAACAACCTCTCCCACTTTCATGTCAAACAAAGGCACTTAAAATTTAGAGCAAAACTTTGATGTGTCCTAAAAGACTCAACAAGATATGGTCACTATTTACTCCAACCAACCTCTTATTGAACCACTATCTCCTAGACTCCAGTCACATGGGATCTTTATGATGTTTGGTCAATGAATGCAACAGGATCTCTTCTATGGCAAGTCTTTTTGCATGTGATATCCTTTCTATCTAGAAAGATCTTTACAACCTCATGTCCCTATCTTACTTTACCTATTATATACCATTAAATCTATTGGCATGATTGTAAGATAAAATATTTCAATTAAACTTTTGATTTTAAGGTAATTGCATATTCCTGTACAGTTCTAAGAGATAATACAGAGATATCCTGTCAACTCCTGACCTATTTTCCTCCATTGATAACAATTTGCATAATTACAGTATACTATCACAACCAGGAAGTCAACATTGATACAATCCATCAACATTATTCAGTTTTCACCAGTTTTATATGTACTCATTTGTGTGTGTGTATATTTCTATATAATCTTATCATATGTGTGTAGAGTCATGTGACCATAATCATGGACCATAGCCAACATACAGAACAATTCCATCACAAGGATCTCTCATCATACCCTTCTATAGCCACAGCTACCTCTTTTCCTCCTCCCTTTATAATTCCTGGCAACCACTAACTGTTTTCCATCTTTACAATATTGTAATTTGAAGGATATTACATAAATGGAATGTGTGCAAGCTTTTAATTTTTTTCTGTATTGTTTTTTGATAACACACTTTTTAATTTTTAGGATATCTTTAGATTTACAGGAGAATTATCAAGATGGTTCAGGAGAATTCTGATATGCCTGCACCACTTCCCCTATTATTAACATCTTACATTAATATAGTACAATTGTTGTAATTAATGAAATAATATTGATACATTATCATTAAGGTAGAAGTTTTATTCATATTTCCTAGTACTTACCTACATGTCATCCATCTTTTCTGTTCCAGGATTCCATCCAGAATACCACATTACATTAGTTGTCAATTCACCTTAGATTCCTGTCTGTGACAGTTTCTCAGAAATTTTTTTTATAACCTTGACTGTTTTGAAGAGTACTGCTCAGGTATTTTGAAGAATGTCCCTCAGTTGGATTTGTCTGTTGTTTTTTCTCATGATCAGACTGGAGTTAATGAGTTTTGATGGGAAGACCACAAAGGTAAAGTATCATGTTCATCACATTATATCAGGGATATATGCTATCAATATGACTTCTTACTGCTATACTAATCTTAATCATCTAAGGTAGTTATTTGTCAGGTATCTCCATTGAAAAGTTGATTTTTTTTTTCCTTTTCCAAACAGTACTCTTGGGAAGTCACTATGTGTAGCCAACCCTTAGGGAGTGGGAATTATGCTTCACCCTTTTAAGACTGAGGTATATATATAAATTACAGACTTTTTTTGAGTATTTGTCTCTTCTTCCTCATTTAATTTTTAGTCATTTTCTTAATTATTATAAACTCATGGATACTCGTTTCATACTTTGGTTTATATTCCAACACTATTTTTTTTGTTCCTTAAATTGTTCCAGCTTTGGCCATTGGGAGTTCCTTTAGTTGGCTCCTGTGTCCTTTTCATATACTCCCATTATTGTATGTGTTTGTTTGCCTCCTTACTGTTGTTGTTAATTCCTTATTTACTGGCAATATAAGATATTCCAGGCTCATCTTTTATATTACTTCATCAGCCTTAGAATTAGTCATTTATTCAAGGAGCCATGGTTCCTCTTATTGGAGAATGGTATTAGAAACTAAAATCTAGGTGCTAGGTTTCCTCATTATGCATGTACATTTCAATAGTTTGTTCCATTTTATTGGTGAGTAGTATTTCATTAATGTGGGTATATCATAGTTTGTTTAATTATTTACCTGTTAAAGGACATCTGGGCTATTTCCAGTTTTTGGCTAATAAAGCTGTTAGGAACATTCATGTTCTCTAGATTAAATGCCCAAGAGTGCAATTTCTGGGTCATATGGTTAGTGAAATTTTAGTTTTATAAAAATCTGGCTAACTGTTCTCTGGAGTGACTTTACCATCTTACATTCCATTCCCACTAGCAATAAATTAGTGAACCAATTTCTCTGTATCATTGCCAGCATTTGATATTATTTATATTTAAGCCATTTTGATAGATGTGTGGTGATATTTTATTTTGGTTTTACAATAATATTTTATTTTATTTATGTACCGCTGAAAAATAAGAAAGGATAGAAGGAAGAGAGAAAGAATGAGCCCATGCACATGTGGGTGAGCAAGACTACCACTAATTGTTACTTATATCCTGATTTTAGAAAGGTTACAAACTGAGAGAACAAAAGTGGACCACAAAATCAGTAATAAGTAGTGAACATCTCTTCCTTCTGCAAATCTCAGGTAAAAGGCCATTTTTTTCACAGAAGCTTTGCCTGATCCCAAGGCAATCTTGCTGAGGTCACCTACTTGTAGTAGTTATATGTTTATTTCCTCCATACTACTAATAACATTTTGTAATTAATTATATCACAACGTATTTAATTGATGTGTCCCTTTTCCTTATTGGACCCAAAGCTCTAGAGGGTAGAGACTGTATCTCTTCTGTTTACCACACTATCTCCAACATCTACTCCAGGTTCTGGTATACAGTTGTTTAAAACTAAGGAGGGCATGTGATCTGATGAGCATGGGGTGTTATATGCAACTAATGAATCATTGAACACTACATCAAAAACTAATGATGTACTATATGTTGGCTAATTGAACTTAATAAAAAAATAAGTAAAACTTGTTACATTAATACGTAGACATATTCTTCACTAAGTAATGATGTTTTCAATCAAATAATTTAATGTTTTTAAAATTCTATTTACTTATTTGCAAAATAGAAATAGATTTAGATCAATTCTAAGACTCTGGACTTCCAGTTACACAGAGAGGGGTGATAAGCAATGGAGATATAAAGCGATGATTTTTATTTTCAAACTCAATACTTTAAAAAAAAGAAATACTATTTAAAGTTATCAATAAAATAAACTTTCTTCACATATTTCCAAAAACAAGGCTAAACAGTTTTTTTCCCTTTGCGAAAATTACCTCAATCCCCCTCCTCAACCTGGTTGAACCTGCCAGGACTTCTTCAATTAAGTTGGTTTGTCTTCCCAGGAGGCTTCAGTCTCTGAGTATCTTGGGAAAGGAGGCTATAGTTCCTGCTGTTTTAATATCCATCTTAAAATTAAGACAATACTAGAAACATAAAAAAATATAACACCCTGGTACCCAGTAAATATTTTGTTTGAGGGAATCTGCCAATAAGGAAAACCTTGTCAAAACAGAGTGGTTTTGAGTTTTGTTAGTTATGGATCTATAGTTATAAGATATTTCACAATACCTCTTAAGTATGGCAATACAAATTAACTTCAGTGTATTTATTGAAAACAGTTTCATGGCACATATTTATTGCCAAACTTATGACTAGTGGAATAAGAATTAAATTATGGGCCATGATTCAGGATAGCCAATGCACTAAAATCAGATGTTCTTGACATGTCCCCAATAAAAGAGAATGTAATAAATCATACTCAATATAAAGTATTAATCAATAAATGCCACCTATGTGGATTTTTAATTGGAAAGTAAACTAAAATCATAGTAAAGGGCATGGGTCATGATGAAAGCATTTTCAAATTAAATATAGAATATTCTTCAAACAATTTGTAATGTGTTCAAGCAATTTTAAATCACTTTGTTATATAATTGCATATTTTTGAATAAAGATTGATAGAGTATAACTTAGCCTTTGTTTATAGAAATAACAAGGGATATGGAAATACTAGTTTATATGATCAATGTAAATAGTCTAACTGGATAACTCAGGTCAAATTACTTCATATTTAATAGGAATTTAATCAACGTAGGTGATTTTTTCTTTCTTCTCAACTTTGTCTTAAGGAGCTCTGATGGATTCTTCATCCCTCAGAGTCCATTTTCTACCCCTCACTTTTAGTTCTACAAACAGAATGCCACTCATCTACAGTCTGTATGCCTGGCTTACCCTTATATGGCTACATTGTGTCTAACTGGATACAGCTTCCATGTCACAGCCTTAATGAAAGCTGCCCTTGAATCTCTTTATTTCCACTGAGGAAAATAATGGTTTGTACCTCGTAAGGAAAATGTGAGAATTAAGTAAGATAATTTATGAAAAAGAGAATAAAATCAGTTATTGTAAGTTTTTACACTAATATTAGCCACAAAATAGTTATTAATGTTTTTTTCTTATGAAGCATTATTAAATAAAAGTGTTAAGTTGGCAGCTTCAAGGAAAATATAAATTGAACGAGGGCAGAATTCCCCACACATTATAAAATGTGTTCCCAAATTTGACTTTGAATCACCTGATAGCCAAAACAAAATAAGAAAATGTGACTAGTTGCATAATTTTCTGCGTCAGTGAGAAAATGATGTGCTAAGGAGAGATTAGGATTTTAAATACTCACATTATAAAGTAATTTCTGTCATGGGCTTTTCATAAATATATAGTAAGCTCTGCATCTGCTTTTATCCCTCTATGAATATAATTTGAGGTAAAACTTCGAAACTTAATGAGGTGAAATCAGTTCTGTCAGAATTAATGGCGACATACAGGCAGTACAGTAGAGTGTGTAAGGAGAGTGATCTAGTTTTGGATCCAGGTTTGGCCTCACCTGTGGATCCCCAGGCAAGTTACTTACCTCAAGCAAATATAAAGACTTGGACTGCCTTGAAGACTGATAATTCATATTCATTTGGTGTCCAAAAGAGTTTATAAATTGGAATGAAATTATTTGTATTACTTATTTATACCAGTTTAGTAGGTCTGTTTTCCAGAAGAGTCACCAGAGCAGATTCCTCTTCATAATAGCAAGGCAAGTTTCTTATGACTGGAAGAATCTCCTGCAGAAATAATAGGTCCTCATAGGGAACTTAGAATGCCTGAAGATGCTGCATGGTTCCTGATTTGTATGGTTGTCTTGGAAGTTTTTCACTTATTTTTCCATTTAAGAAATTTGTATCATCTATCTTTGTCAGTTGATGTCTTTCCGTCAATCTTGCCATCAACCTCAAAGGTTGGTGTCAGAATACAGATTAGCACAAAGACTTAGAACCTGAAGATTAGGTTGATTAGGAGGAATTGGGAACTACAACAACACTTGGAAAAGAAAATGATACTAGATGGCTAGGATTACAGGCAGACCATTTTAAACAAAGAGCCTATAAATATTTAGCAGTGATGAAGGACTGCTTCAGAAGAATATGACCTTTATTTTCCATTATTTGAGACAGATTTGCATACTGGATTAAAAATAAATTGTTGTCCAAATGGTAAAGTTCACATTTCTCCTTTAGATTCTAGACTCCATTGGCTTTAACCAAAGAAGTAGAGATGCCTGAATGTTTCGAATGGAGACTGAAACCAAGAAGCACTGGACCAGGAATCCAATAGGAAAGCAAAACAAGAACTAAAACTGTGGATTCTCATGTTTTTGTGCATAAGTACTTGGGGTGTTAATGTTAAAAATGTTGGTGGGTCAGAGCACACCCTCAACTCCATCCTCTCTGAAACAGAAGTTTGTCATAAATTAAAATTTACAAGAGGTGAGAGGTTGTTTGACTTTAAGCAAGTCAAAGCTCCCTGTAGAGGGGAAAGGAAAGAGGCAGACTGCAGAGTAAGGAAAAGAAAATTTCAAGTACAGGAATTAGTATTAACTGTGTTTTTAAAAAGTGTTTTATTTTTATTTTTTTATCATGATAAGTGTACTCTTTAACCTTCATCACCTATTTCATCCTCTCCAGCTCCCCTCTGGTAGCCATCAGTTTATCTCTATAGTTAAAGATCTGTTTCTTGGTTTGTTTCTCTCTCTCTCTCTTTTTTTCCTTTTACTTGTTTGTTTTATTTCTTAAATTCCACATATGAGTGAAATCATGTGGTGTTTGTCTTTTGCTGACTGACTTCTTTCACTTAGAATTATACTCTCTAGCTCTATCCATGTCATAGCAAATGGCAAGATTTCATTCTTTTTATGGCTGAGTAATATTCCTGTGTGTGTGTGTGTGTGTGTGCATGTATATATACACATATATGTGTATGGTATATATATACCACCTCTTCTTTATCCATTCATCTATTGATGCACATTTGGACTGTCTCTATGTTTTGGCTATTGTAACTAATGCTGCAATAAACATAAGGGTCATGTATCCCTTTGAGTAAGTGTTTTTGAATTTTTTGGGTAAATATCCAGTAGTGCAATTACTGGATCATAGGGTAATTCTATTTTTAATTTTTGAGGAACCTCGATACTATTTTCCACAGTGTTTGTACCAGTTTTCATTCTCGCCAACAGTGCAAATGGGTACCTGTTTATCCATATCCTCACCAACACTTGTTGTTTCTTGTGTTTTTGATTTTAACCATTCTGTCTGGTGTGAGGGGTATGTCATTGTCATTTTGATGTGCATTTCCCTGATGATGAGTGATGTTGAACATCTCTTCATGTGTCTGTTAGCCATCTGTATGTCTTCTTCTTTTTTTTTTTAAAGATTTTATTTATTTATTTGAGAGAGAGAATGAGATAGAGAGAGCATGAGAGGGGGGAGGGTCAGAGGGAGAAGCAGACTCCCTGCTGAGCAGGGAGCCCGACGCGGGACTGGAGGCAGTCGCTTAACCAACTAAGCCACCCAGGCGCCCCATCTGTATGTCTTCTTTGAAGAAATGTCTGTTGATGTCTTCTGCCCATTTTTTAATTGGATTATTTGTTTTTTGGGTGTTGAGTTGTATCAGTTCTTCATATATTTTGGATACTAACCCTTTATCAGATATGTCATTTGCAAATATCATCTCCCATTCAGTAGGTTTCTTTTTAGATTTGTTGATTGTTTCCTTTGTTGTGCAGAAGCTTTTTATTTTGATATTGTCCCAATAGTCTATTTTTGCTTTGGCCTCAGGAGACATATCTGGAAAAATGTTGCTACAGCTGATATCAGAAAAATTACTGCCTGTGCTCTCTTTAAGGATTTTTATGGTTTTAGGTCTCACATTTAGGTCATTAATCCATTTTGAGTTTATTTTTATGCATAGTGGAAAAAAGTGGTTCAGTTTTATTCTTTTGCATATATCTGTCCAGTTTTCCCAACATAATTTTCTAAAAGATTTTATTTATTTATTTATTTATTTATTTATTTATTTATTTATTTATTTCAGAGAGAGAGAGCACGAGCAGAGAGAGGGATCGAGGGAAAGGGAGAAGTAGACTACCCACTGAGCGGGGCCCCTGATGCAGGACTTGATCCCAGGACTCCAGGATCAGAACCTGAGCCAAAGGCAGACACTTAACCAATTGAGCCACCCAGGCACCCTCCAATACCATTCTTTTCCCATTGTGTATTCATTCCTCATTTGTTAAAGATTAATTGACCATATAATTGTGGATTTATTTCTGGGTTTTCTATTCTCTTCTACTGATCTATGTGTCTATTTTTATACCAGTACCATACTGTTTTCATTCTACTGCTTTGTAATATAACTTGAAATCTGTATGAACTGTGTTTTAATATGCATGAGTACCTAATGTCTGTTTTGACATTTTTAATGAAGTGTGAACATGCAGTTTGATGACTTATGAAACTAATTATTATGTGTGTATAAATATATATATATGTTATAATCATACACGTAGTTTTTTTTTATTTTTTAAACAATTATATTCAGAGTACAGGATCTCAGAAATTATTTCATACTTGGACCATATTCCTTTGAGTGTAGAGTCAGAAGTACTTAGGTGACATAGAGTTTTTATTGCTAAAATGTACATAATAAACAATTTTATCCCCAAACTTCTCTTTGAATGATGAGTAAATTCATGATACATAGCCTGTTAGGAAGATTCTGAATATGAATTTTACCTAACATGTCAAAGCAATTTCACTATTATTAGAGTGGTACATGATTCCAATATATTCTAAATTGGTCTAAAGATGTGGTGATCAAAGTGTTAACTAACTTTCTCCTTCAGGCATGGTTGTGCTTAGGAGAAGATATTTTGCTACATTGGAGCCAAAAGAGATAAGTGGGGGAGGCTGGAACTAGGCCTAGCTTCTCTAATCCCAAGATGCTTGGGAAAATAACTTTTTTTTTTTCTTTCTCATCCCCTTGAGGTGTTTTGCTAACTATGGTTTTTACTAATCTTTCTTAGGAAGGGAAAGCATCTGGCAAGGAGTTGGATGTTTGTCCCCCCCTTCCTTCACTACTTTTATGTCTTTATTTATTTATTTATTTTAGTAAAAATTTGTAATAGGTGAAGTTACACTGAAAAAAAATTCAATAAAAAAGAAAATTATTATATTGGAAAGAAAAATTTTCAAGTTCGTTATCAAAATATTAAACTGTCAGGAGCCCTGACAGCAGTACTATTGACCAGGAGCAGCAAGAGAAGCTGGTAGTAAGAAACTGGAATAAAGATCAGGACAGTTTCTTGTTCTACATGTAAGGAGCATAGAAGTCACCACTCTGTCCTAATAAGTAAAAATCTGAACAGACTGAAGAAACAACTCTTCTTGGATCCATAAGAGAGGAGAGATCACAAGACAAATTTCTGTTCCTGATCTGGATAGAAAGACAGGTGAATATAGGGAGTCACAGCTTACCAGAGCAGAGTTGTGCAAGCAGAAACTATTGCAGCAACCAGTGCTGGGGAAGGAAAACCTGAGTTGTAATTGACAAATTTCTGGAGGCTCAGTATGGACAAGTCTGGGAGTGAATAACTACATGGGACCCCAGTTATTGAGGGCCTCCACAACATTGTGGGATTCACCTTCAAGAGAGTTACCAGATTCTCACAGAAAATATGACAGAAAAAAATCCCCTCAGTCTTCTGACAGGCAGAGGAGAAAAGGAACCATTTTAAAGTACTTGAGAGGAGAGTAATCTGTTCTTACTAACAATGCCTCCTCTTAGTTCCCCTTGTTAACCAGAGCCCGACTTGTCAGAGCTTAACTTTTCTGGGAGAAAGGAAATACTCAACTCTAAACAATAAAATTGATAAGATTCTAACCAGGCTAAGTAAGAAAAAAACCCCACAAATTACTTATATGAAAAGTGAGAAAGGGGCAACATTGCTACAGATCTCATGGGCATTAAAAGGATGATACTGGAATTACTATGAACAAGTCTATGCTCACAGAGTTGATGACCTAGAAAAAATGAACCAATTCTTTGAAAAACATAATTTGCCAAAACATATAGGAAGAATAGACTATTTGAATAGGGCTATATGTATTAAAGAAGCTGAATCAATAATTAATAACCTTACAAAACAGAAAACATCAAGTAGAGATGGATTCACTGGCGAATTCTATCAAACATTTAAGGAAGAAGTTGTATAAATTCTCTTCATCTCTTTCAGATGATAGAAACAGGGATACTTCTTCTTTTTTTTTTTTTATTTAAAGATTTTATTTATTTGACAGAGAAAGACAGCCAGAGAGGGAACACAAGCAGGGGGAGTGGGAGAGGGAGAAGCAGGCTTCCTGCGGAGCAGGGAGCCCGATGCGGGGCTCGATCCCAGGACCCTGGGACCATGACCTGAGCCTAAGGCAGATGCTTAACGACTGAGCCACCCAGGTACCCCAGAAACAGGGATACTTCTTGGGGCGCCTGGGTGGCTCAGTTGGTTAAGCGACTGCCTTCGGCTCAGGTCATGATCCTGGAGTCCCAGGATCGAGTCCCGCATCGGGCTCCTTGCTCAGCAGGGAGTCTGCTTCTCCCTCTGACCCTCCCCCCTCTCATGCTCTCTCTCTCTCGCTATCTCATTCTCTCTCAAATAAATAAATAAAATCTTTAAAAAAGAAATTAAAAAAAAAAAAAACCAGGGATACTTCTTAACTCATGATGTCAGCATTTACCCTAACAACAAAACCAGACAAAGACATTAAAAGAGAACTACAGACCAATATCTCTTGTGAACATAAATGCAAAAATCACCAATAAAATATTAGCAAATAAAGTCCAAAAGTATATAAAAATAATTATACACCATGACCATCTGGGATTTATACCAGGTAGGCAAAGTAGGTTTAACTTTCATAAATCACCTATGTAATTTATCATATCAACAGGTTAAAAAAAGAAAAATCCCATGATCATATCAAAGGATACAGAAAAAGTATTAGCAAAATCCAGTACTCATTCATGATAAAAATGTTCAGTAAACTAAGAATAGAGGGGAATTTTCTCAATTTGAAAAAGGACATCTACAAAAAAAAAAAAAAAAAAAAGTACAGTTAACATCATACATAATGGTGAGAAACTTGAATCTTTCTCACTAAGATCAGGAACAAAGCAAAGATGTTTCCCCCTCACCACTCCCTTTCAAATTGTACTAGAAATAGTGGCTAATGCAGTAAGACAAGAAATGGAAAAAAAAAAGATATACAGATGGGAGAAAAGAAATAAAACTGCCTTTGGTTGCAGATGACCTGATCATCTATGTAGAAAATCTGAAAGAATCAAACAAAAATATCTGGAATTAATAAGTGATTAAAGCAAATCTATAGAATACATGGTTAATATGCCAATGTCAGTTGCTTTCCTACATGCCAGCAAGGAGTGAGTGGAATTTGAAATTAAAAATAATAGCATTTATATTAGCATTTTTAATAATGTATCAAAATATATGCCTTACCCTGCAACCACAAATCTCACTTCTGGAATTTAACATATATACATTTCTGCATAAATTGGATGACATAGATATAAAGTAATTCACTGAAATATTATGTGTAACCCCAAAAGTATAAATAACCCAAGCACTCATCAGTAAGGTACTGGTAAAATACCACTAGCACAAAGCAGAAAAAGAAAATAAGGGAACTTTCTACATACTGATATTAAATTGCTCAAGATACATCATCAGGTGAAAAAACAATTTGCAAAGTATTGCCTGTAGCAAGTTACTTTTTCAAAAAAGAGGAAAAATAAGTGTATATATTTATATTTACACAAAGCCACCCTGGAATGATGTACTGAAAAGTAGTAACAGTGGTTGCCTCTGATGGAATGGGGTGGGGTAAATTAGGTTGATTGTGAGTCTGAGACTTCTCATTGTTTATAATTTTGTTTTTTGGATTTTTAACTAGGTAGCATTTACACATGCTAAGTGAATGAAAAAATAAAATTTAAAAGTCAGTGAGTCAAAATTATATATTCATAGCATTTTTTTGCTGCAGTAGTTACAGACTCCTAGGTTACAGTTTCACTGGTGAAAAAAAAAAATGTTTAGGTTCCAAAGACTTAATGACTTGGTTAAGCCCACAAAGCTAGATTGTAGTAAATCCCAAATTAGAACTGCAGTAATGTACATTGATCACATCTGATGTTCTGAGTAGTTTTTCTAAGACATCTCTACAAGTTCAGTCCTCACACAGAGGCTGCAATGTGAAGAAAATATGTTTATCCATGTGCAAGGTCAAAATGGAAATGCATTTGCATTTCTCAAAGTATAATATGTTATAATTGTGATAAGTCAAAATAAAACTCATAAAGTTAGTCTACAACAACTAAGTAACAAAATTAAAGGAGGTGGGGCGCCTGGGTGACTCAGTCGTTAAGCGTCTGCCTTCGGCTCAGGTCATGATCCCGGGGTCCTGGGATCGAGCCAGGCATCGGGCTCCCTGCTCGGCGGGAGGCCTGTTTCTCCCTCTCCCACTCCCCCCTGCTGTGTTCCCTCTCTCACTGTGTCTCTCGCTGTCAAATAAATAAATAAAATCTTAAAAACAAAAACAAAAACAAAAACAACAAAAAAACAAAATTAAAGGAGGTATGCCACCTGTGGAGACATTCCTCAAAAATATTTATAGTTTGTGAGAAGAAACAAAACTATATACACTTGAATGTGATTATTGAGAAAGGAAATTGACAGATATAAACCATTCACATTTTTTACTTAAGTATAGTTGACATATAATATTATATTAGGTTTAGGTGTGCAACACAGTGATTCAACAATTCTATACATTACAAAATGCTCACCACAATAAGTGTACTTATCATCTCTCACCATACAAATTTAGTACAATATTATTGACTATATTCCTTATGCTGCACTTTTCATCCCTATGACTTATTTATTTTATAACTGGATATTTGTACCTCTTAATCTCCTTCACCTATTTTGCCCATTCCCTACCACTTACCCTTCTGGCAACCAGCAGTTTGTTCTCTGTATTTATGAGTTTACTTTTGTTTTCTCTTGTTTGTTTGTTTGTTTTGTTTAGATTTGACATATAAAAGAAATCATATGGTATTTGTCTTTTTTTTGTCTGACTTATTTTACTCAGCCTAATACTCTCTAGGTTGATCATGAATAGCAAGATGTCATTCTTTTTTTAAAGCCATTTGCTTATGAAAAATTATATAGCTTAATGTACAGTGAATAGTATTTTAAGAATTGTGTAAAACTGTACATTTTTAAATAAAAAGGCTTATGACATATTTTCAATTTTACAATGCATGCTTTATGAAGTGAAATTGTGCCTTAAACACTGTGAAAACTTGCGATAGAATTGAACTTTATAAATAAAATGGATAAAACAAATGCTCCTTCCCCAAACCTTCTAGGATCTAAAGTTGTTGGATACTTTTTAAATTAATGTTAAGTTTATAATATAAAACATTATCTATTGACTTTTAAAAGTTTTTAAATCATTAGTTTCAATTTAAGTAAACTTGGCTTATACTCTTCTAAACCACTCTAGTGTTATACTGAAAACTTCTACATATCAAAATTAGGCAATTTCATGGTCTCTTTTATAAAGAGTTGTGCTTTTTT